CATCTGTAACAAGATTCATATATGTCCAGGTGTGCATACGTCTTTGTGCTTGCATTCCTGCACTATTGTTCAATTTGAAATAGTAGAACTGACTTCATGTTGTTAAAGCAAACTAGGCAGAACAATTGAACAGAGCATCGTGAATAAAGTATATTTAAAAAGGAAAGAAGCTTTAAGAAAGACCAAGAGACGCTTCCGTGAGGGAAGGAAAAAAGGCAACATTTGAAGGTAAAAGCACTACAAGATTGTCTATAATTAAGAATATGGAAAGAATAGAATACATTTCAAAAAATACAATGGCAAGGAAAGGAGCCAAGGAGGAAATTAATGTAATAGTCTAATAGAGCATTATTCAAAAAGCAAGAGGGAATATGTGGCTTCGTGCAGATAACTTCCAGGGACTTGTGCGTTCGTGGTGGGAGGAGAACCTGGTGGTGGGCACGTCTAGTTTTATTCTTGCAAGAAAGCTTCATATTCTGAAAAATAATCTTAAAAGGTGGAATAAGGAGGTTTTTGGGAGCTTGGAGTGGAGAAAGAATAGGGTTTTGGCTGATATTGCCGAGATCGATAGACTGGAAGGGGAGGGTGTTCTTTCTGAATCCCAACGCAGTAGGAGAGCAGCTTGTCAGGCAGAATGTGTGGAGATTGCAGTTTTGGAGGAAATTTCGTGGCGTCAGAAATCTCGGGCCTTATGGCTCAAAGAGGGAGACCGGAATACCAATTTTTTTCATAGAACCGCTAATGCTCATAGGAGGAATAATCACATTGGGAGGGAATGTGTGGATGATGCGGTTTTGACTACGGAGGAGGAGGTGCGTAGCGGTATTGTCTCTTTCTACCAAAAGCTCTATTCTGAGCCTCTTCGATGGAGGCCACGTCTTGATGATCTTCACTTTGATTCTATTTCTACATTGGAAAGAGATGGGTTGGAAAATCCTTTTTCGGAGGAAGAGGTGTTGAAGGCCCTTAAGAGTTGTAATGGTGATAAGTCTCCAGGCCCGGACGGCTTTACTATGAGATTTCTGTTGGAGAGCTGGGAGGTGGTCCGGTACGAGGTGATGGGCACTTTTCATGAGTTTCATTCCACGGGGAGGTTTGAGAAATCACTGAACGCATCTTTTATTGCTCTTATTCCTAAGAAGGGTGGTGCTTCTCACATTAAGGATTTTCGACCAATCAGTTTGATTGGATGCATTTACAAGCTCATCGCAAAAGTCCTTGCATTCCGTTTGAGGGAGGTCTTGGATGGAGTTATTTCTGAGTCACAGAATGCTTTCATTGAGGGTAGACAGATGCTGGATTCCGCTCTTATTGCCAATGAATATGTGGATTCTCGATTGTGTAGTGGGGCTCTTGGGGTTCTTTGTAAGCTGGATATCGAGAAAACTTATGATCATGTCTGCTGGAATTTCCTGTTGGGCTTTGGTGAGAGATGGAGGAAATGGATTGTTTCATGTGTTTCCACTGTCAGGTTTTCGGTGTTGGTGAATGGGTCCCCTGCGGGTCTGAGGCAGGGGGACCCTCTCTCCCCGTTCCTTTTTATTATTGTTATGGAGGCTCTTAGTAGGTTGGTGAGAAGGGCGGTGGATTTGGGTTTTATCAGGGGTTTCAAGATCGGTCCCGACTCCGTTCAGCAAATGGAGATTTCTCACTTGCTCTTTGCTGATGACACTGTTGTTTTTTGTGAGGCAGAGGTGTCCCGGTTGAGGTATCTGAGATGTGTCTTAGTTTGCTTTCAGGCTGTCTCTGGTTTGAAAGTCAACGTGGGCAAGAGTGTGCTTGTCCCTGTGGGGGAGGTTCAAGAGGTGGACACTCTAGCCGCTGCTTTAGGGTGTGGGACACAACGTTTCCCTATCTCGTATTTGGGTTTGCCGCTGGGGGACTCGGCCAAGAGGGTGGGAAGTTGGGACCCAGTGATTGAGAGGGTCGAAAGAAGATTAGCTGGTTGGAAAAAGCAATATCTCTCCAAGGGTGGTAAAGTTACGTTAGTGAAAAGCGTCTTGTCAAGCCTTCCAACATATTTTCTTTCGCTCTTTCGGGTTCCAGCCTCGGTTGTTGGCCGTCTGGAGATGTTACAACGAAACTTCCTTTGGGGGGGTCGTGGAGAGGAGTTTAAGTATCATCTTGTCAGATGGGAGCAGGTTTGCAGGCCTTTTCAGTTGGGCGGGCTTGGGATTAGGAAATTGGCCCCTTTTAACAGTGCTCTCCTCGGTAAGTGGCTTTGGAGATTCGGCAGTGAAAGGCATAGATTATGGAGAAGGGTTATTTCCTGTCACTTTGGGGAAGAGAGAGGGGGGTGGTCAGCTAGGCCAGTCAGGTCTGCTAGTGGAGTAGGGGTATGGAGGGCCATTGGAAAAGGATGGGACGAGTTTTCCAAACATGTTAGATTCAAAGTTCGGGATGGAAGGTTAGTCCGGTTTTGGGAGGATCCCTGGTGTGCGGATAGGCCTCTGGCTCTTTTGTTTCCCAGGCTGTTCAAGATTGCTGTTGACAAACATGCTATGGTTGCTAACTGCTATCACCTTGATAGCGGGAGGTTATCTTGGGATGTGCGATTCCGGCGATCTTTTCAAGATTGGGAGTTGGATGATGTCACTGGCTTGTTGGCTCTCTTGTACAGACAGGAGGTGGAGGGCACTGGTGTTGACTCCCTGTTTTGGGTGCACTCTTCTCAGGGGATGTTCCAGGTCCGGTCTTTTTTTGTATGCCTTTCTGGTTTTCATGGTTCTTCCTTCTGTGGAAGACGGTGTGGTTGTCTAAGGCGCCTCTTAGAATGGCCTTTTTCGTGTGGACTGTTGCTTGGAGCAAGATTTTGACTTTAGATAACTTGAGGAAGCGAAGACATATTATTGTTAATTAGTGTTATCTTTGTAAGTTGAATGGGGAGTCAGTGGATCACCTGTTGCTGCATTGTCCTGTGGCTCATGATTGTTAGAGTCTCATTTTTTATTTGTTTGGTATTCATTGGGTTATGCCTCGGACATCTCGGGAATTGCTGGATATTTGGAGGGGCCAATGGGTGGGGGCTCAGGCGAGAGTCTTCTGGAGGGTAACCCCCTTTTGTGTTTGGTGGAGCATTTGGAAAGAGCGGAATAGAAGACCTTTTGATGGGAAGGAGTCCTCCATTGGGATGTTGAAATTCTCTATTATTTGTACTCTTTTTTGTTGGGGTTGGGGGAGAGTTTTTTCCTCCATTGAGGATATTGTGGACTTTTTGGCCTCCTTAAGATCATAGTTTCAGTTTTTTGTATAGCTTGGGAAGCGTTCCCCTTTTGAACGCCTTTTAATACATTTTACTCATCAAAAAAAAAAATTAGGTGGTGTAAATGTCTTAAATTACTGTTTTCAAACACTTATCCCAGACATTCATGCTGCTCGTGTATCACTGGATGTAAGAACTAAAGAGGTGTTTCCCATATCCCAGACTATACTGCAAATCAAAGTGGGAGTTTCTCAAATCTAAACCAGTAAGCTACATAAGTTATGATTCCTTTCCAATTAATACATTAAGAACCAAAAAATATCCCATAATTTGACGAGAATGATCCCCAAATACTACAAGGTCTATACTAGCAATTTGTAAAACGAGTATATTACTTAAGTTTAATAAACCATAATACAAGAATATGAATGGTTTTTGCAGCAGATGACTCTAAATATAGAAAATCTCAAGAATGGTTAGCATTTCAAACACTCAGAAAGCACTTGTTCAGATATAGAAAATTATCTATGCAGTAATAAGATCAGACCAGACTACAGTAATGCAGCCATTAAGAAAATTAATACATAATAATTCCTGTCTCATTACTCGTAGAGCGGTTTGAGTCAACAAGCAAGAAGGGCCTTGTCATTCGAGCTCAAGTAAATCTGATAAGAGCAATATTTTGGTTTAGGAGATGTTTTCCTGCTAAAAATACTTCTGACCTTCTCTTCACAACTTTTAGAGTTAATTACTTTTCTTTCTTTCGTTTTTTTTAAGTTGAGTTTGAAACTTGAATTTTCGTTTTATTCAAAGAATCCGATATTTCTTTATCTAAAAATTCCCAAATTATTCCAATTGTTTTCAAGTATTTCTCCGGGAGTATACTGTCCAGTGGATAGGATGTTGTAAAGATTCAAGGTTATTGGTTGGTTGAACATTAAAGGTTAGTTTACATGTTTTTGTATCTTAGTGTTTGTCTTTTTATTCTTCCTCTTCCTGGTGAAACATTAGGTGATTATTTGAAATATGGAAGTTGCAGATCTCAGTACTAACATATCTTGTAGACTAGTTAAATTTTAGAAAAACAGGGTAAAATGTAGAAGGTTCATTTGTCAATCTTCGGTTGAAAATAAGTGCCACCTCTTTTTTATAACAACATTATTAGCTCTATGCTCATTATGATCTATTGCATTAGTGATGAATGCCCATCTTTGTCTATTTGAGTGCAGTTTTCTTGAACATAACTGCAACCTATTTTTATTTCTATACATATCTAATGGTGTAAGAAGAAATTTATGAATAATAATAAGACATAATGGAAAATGATAAAAGATATAATGCAAACAATATGACAAACATCATAGCATCAATTTGTATGCAAACAATAAGGCAAACATCATAGCATCAATTTGGAGCAACAAAAGAAGTTCGAAGTTAACTAGGAAAAATAAAAGAAATTCTGAGTTCAAAGAAGCGCATTACTAGAATTACAAAAAACAGTTATCACAAAAGCCAATTCTAGCAATAGAATCTACGCTTAGAGTATCTATTTTCGCTAAAAACAACTAACTTGTGAGTAACATATCTACTGCATTATGATGGACTTTCACAGTTTTTAACTGTGGACTAATTTTTCTGCTTTTAGCAGAGTAACCACTTTTTCAAGCTTGCTAATTCTAGCTTCCATTTCCAGTCTCGGTATTTGGGGTGTATGATAAGTATTTCTTTCTCCTAGATTGTTGTTGATGCTTACCATATTATAAACTGGTGTTGTAGCTAGATTGCTGCTAATGCTTACCATGTTATTAACAGGAGTCCTCATTCTACTTTCAATTGCATCTTCTGTGATCATCTCTGTTCTACTTACAATTGCACCTTCTGCGATCATCTCTGGTCTACTTACAACTGCATCTTCTGCGATCATCTCTGTTCTAGTTACAACTGCATCTTCTGCGATCATCTCGGATCTACTTACAATTGCACCTTCTGCGATCATCTCTGGTCTACTTACAATTGCACTTTCTGCAATCATCTCTGTTCTACTTATAATTGCATCATGTGTGACCAACTCGGTTCTACTTTCCATTGCATCATGTGTGACTGCTGCTGATCCTTCCATCACATGTTCTCTTTCCACAATATTTTCCGCAGGTTTAACGACCGACCCAATCTTTTGAATAGTTCCACTATCAGCAGTCGAAGATGGTGATGGACTTTGCAATCGAGATCTGATTGAAGACTGACCACCTCTACTCTTCATATTTCTCAACCACTCCGATAATGGCTGTCTATACTCAGCGCTGGAGTCACTTGATTCAACCGAAATGGATTTCGAAGGAAAACCAGGAGGAACAGCAGGATCAGTTATCTTCCAACTCTGTGGAGTTCTTTCGGAACTATTTGAATTTCTCTTTTCAAAAACATGCTTGGTTGCTTCTTGCCCACCAAACTTTGCATTCCACCACTCAAAATATCTAGTGGTAACACCTGGCTTATAATGTCGTGGTGAAATATATAATTTCTCATCTCTAATCGGCCTCTTATAATTACTCCAAGCAATTTCAAGACTTGAATTGGAACGAGCAACCAGACCTGGAAGATCCTGATCCAACCCAAACTGCATTGCAACTCGATGTGGGAGGTACTGCTCTATACACCCTAGTCCAACTAACTCGCAGACCCTCAAGCATAAAGCAAGTGACTCTAATCCCTCATCCATCACTGGTTGAGCCAATAACCACTCTCCTTTCTTGGCTCTGGCATAAGGCCGCCACAGAAAGTTACTTCCAGCAGAATCTATAGCCAACCTCATATCCTCAATGTTCACTTTCTTCGCGTTGTCCCATCGAGCCAATCTTGGCCCACCATGTCCAATGGAACAGGGTGTCGGCCGCAATGATGTAAATCTTTCCCATGCCCAAATTTGAACAAATTGTAATGGGGCCCAAACTGCAAGTGTTAAAGCAGCTTCTTCACATATACTAGTTCCTAATTTGTTTGAAGCAACAATAGTGGCTTTCAACAAACTCAAGTCTCTGTAAAGGCTTGCTAGAACAGGCGGTGCAAGTGCAATTTTGGTACCTCTAGCTAAATGATTGGCAATGGGAAAAACATTTGTTGCTATAGAGTTAAATGATGTTGGGAAGACAAACCTTGACAACCAATAGGAAAGAAATGCTTCGTGCTCGATCTCACTTCCACAGCCCATGAATTTAGACAACCACCTTTCATGGGAGGCCTTGTGAGCTTTGCTCCTGCTGATTTCTGACCTTGCTCGAACTAGTTGTTCTTTGATTTCATTCAATTCTGTGGTTTCAAGAGGGGTTGATATGGAATCACCCAGAGCGGAATAACCTCCCAAAATGATTATATCTTCAAGAGTGATGGTTGTTTCTGCCCAAGGAAACACAAATGTGTTGGTATCAGAACACCATCTCTCTACGAACCCAAAGACCAAGCTGTCAATTTTCCAGATTTTGTAGGTTGAATTCATGATGGCGTCGTGAATTCCAACGTTTTCCCATAGGGATTGATGTGAAGAATGCATGCGGCTTACCCATGTTTTCCAGTTCTTTGATGGCTGTCTCCAGCCATTGAACGACACTCTCAGTGGGGATTTTGTTGGGTCGAAATTGGCGGGTACAGAGGAGAGAGACGGTGAAGGAAGATTAAAGAATGGTCCATCGATGGAGGTGACAGAGGGTTTGAGAAAATGGGCAATTCTGAGAGTTGGGTCTCCTCCTTTTGGCGAAATCATGAGCTCGTCTCTCTCTTCCATGATGGTCTCCTCTGCTGCTTCTGCCATGGATGATGAGATCAAGAGCTTTTGAGAAATGAACTGTGAGATTTGTAACAGTTTGTGGTACAATTAAGGGTTTCAACGAGAGAGAGAGAGAGAAAGAGTGGCATGGGAAGTGGAGTTCGGTAAAAACGTATGACTAATTATAATAATGCTCCATAAAGTGAGAAGCTACTAGTACTACTACTAAAGTACTAGATGGCCTTGGACCGCGCGCCACTTCGTGGTGGGTAGTACAGTCAAAACTCATGTTCAAACAATTTTTTTTTATTATTATTATTATTTTTTAATTTTCTTTTGTTTCACTTTTGGTTGGACTGAATTACTTGGGCCAGGAGGCCAATCATCATCTGGCCCAATTATGATATGGAGCAAGAAGGCTAAAAATTAAATAGACAAGACCTAACATGGTAAGAGATGAATCATATGATTCCAAGTTGGTTTAGTGCCATAAGATGTTCCTATTCACTCGAAGGTTTTCAAAAAAATTTGTTTTATAAGGGTCTAACTAAATCAACTCAACATCATGCAAGAGGAAAAAAAAAAAAATCAAGGATCAGCGTGTGTATTTATATATAAAGTATAAACACATTTTTTATTTTACTTTTATCGGGAAGGTAATGATTTGTATATACTTGAATAATTCTACAATCAAGGAGAATCCCCACCAAATTAACAACCCTTGGGCTGACACCAAAAAAAAAAAAAAAATTCCTCAGTCTCAAGCTCTGCAAATCATACTAGAGTGAATCCAGATCCAAAGATTGCCAATAATCTAAATGCTGACATTACCACCTGATCATCATATTTGAGGATTATGGTCTTCATTACATGAACTTGGAAGGGAATGCTTAAACCTGATGGGGAATTCTTAAACTTGAGGGAACATAATGCTTATACATAATAAACACTGAAACACACACACACACACACACACACACATGTATTTTCAATTTTTATTCAGCTGGTCAATATCTTCTGTAGTGTCACTTCAACATGTATTGAGAGAGAATGAGAGAAGCATTAAAAAGTTTGTGTTGAGATATGTAGTTGAGGCTACACTCACATTGCAGATATGGTTGCAGCAATGGCATTATCGCCATAAAATTTCTCTGTCTTGCATAGCAGTAGAGCATACTGCATATTTGCTCTGCCCGGCTGCTCCTTTATTCTGGATATGTTTTCTCTGTCAGTGCAGTTTTATTAAAGAGGAAATGATAGACACACATCTCTCTCTTTTTCTCACACACACAAACACAGCTTTAATGGGAAAATAATATCACTTAAAAAGTCTGAATCAGTGTTTCACAAAGAAGACTGATCAAGAGTTAACAGAAGTTGAACTATCATAATTTAAGGGCTTTAATCAAGTTTGAGCATATGACTATTTAACTAGTCTTGACTTAATCAAATCAAACGAGCATTCAAGATCAAGTTTAATTAGCTTGAGACAAACCTAGAAATAAATGGTCATGCTACACTTGACTTGTTGGCTTAATCAAACCCAACAAGTCTGTCTTTGGTGCTGTTCCTTAAATACAGTTTTCAAAAATTTTGAAAATGGATATGTGGTCTCAAAAATTTATTATAGAATTCTCTTTTAAAATTGAGCGCTTGCTTTTCACATAAGAGTTTTCATAAAACAATTAACCAAATAATGTTTCAACGATTTTCTTTTTCTCTAAACAGAAATCTTGCTAAACAATATATAATCTTACAGATAATCCAAGGAGGAAATTAATGTAATAGAGCATTATTCAAAAAGCAAAAGGGAAAATTCAAAAACACTTCTATATTTAATAAAGAAAGAATAAGGTAGGTGGTGTAAATGTCTATAAATAAATGTTTTCAAACCCTTATCCCAGACATTCAGGCTGCTCGTGCATCACTGGATGTAAGAACTAAAGATGTGTTTCCTTTATCCCATAATTATACTGTAAATCAAAGTGGGAGTTTCTCAAATCTAAACCAGTAAGCTACACAACTTATGATTCCTTCCCAATTATACATTAAGAACCAAAAATTATCCCATTATTTGACGTGTATGATCCCTAAATATTAGAAGGTCTATAATATCAATTTGTAAAACGAGTATATTACTTAAGTTTGACAAACCATAATATAGGAATATGAATGGTTTTTGCAGCAGACGACTCTTAACTATATAAAATCTCAAGAATGGTTAGCATTTCAAACAGCTCAGAAAGCACTTGTTCAGATATAGAAAATGACCTATACAGTGATAAGATCAGCCCAGACTACAGTAATGCAGCCATTAAGAAAAGTAATACATAATAATTCTATGTCTCATTACTCGTAGAGCAGTGGTTCGAGTCAATAAGCAAGAAGGGCCTTGCCCTTCAAGCTCAAGCATTTACATGATTCAATATGATAGGTAAAATCTGATAAGCCAAAAAAAGAATGACAATATTATGATATAGAATTTCAAGAATACAAACTTAATATCATAAGCTGGTTTTTTGTCCTAAATATATGGCTTTAAACTATGCAGTCAATGTCATTCCACAAATTATCTGAACTTTATAGCTTGGGGAAGTGATAACCTAAAAGGCAAAAAGCTTGAGGAATGTGCTAACTAACCTGGTTTTTTTCAGCCACCATTTAACAGCTACAAGGATGTGGGATACCTTCAAAGAAATGTTGTAGAACTGGTTAAAAGTAGAGCATGCTCTATGTCAGAATTTAGCAAGAATCAACGAATTCATAATTGAAACAAGAATGGAATTTGCCTCAATCTTTGTTCAAATGATCTGCCCTATCCAAAGTGTTTCTTTCTCTCTTCTTATAACAGCCTTCTATGGTTTTATGTTTTGATCTTGTTTTCCAAAGCCACTGATCTCCTTCATAGATCAGCAGCAGAAATGATTAGAGATTGTTTATGAAGTCTCATGTCGTCCCAAGGTGTAGATTTTGCTTCATACGGCCTTTTCTCAATATGATGCAAGGTTTTGGATGCTTCTGTCAGTATAAACCAACTTCTCACCCACATTTTCCCCACTTTTCTCTCCCTAGTTGGTGGATTTGGGGATATGTTAATGAAGATACCGAAAATGGCCTGGGCGGGGTACGACCCATGTTACTAAAGATTGGATCTGGAAAGAACGCTAGGCTCCACTAAGACAAACCTCAAGCCCAATCTCAAAGCAAAGGAAATGGGCCGATGTCCAAGAGGAGCCCAGAAGATCGGTCCAACATCTAGGACTGAAGAAGAAGCTTCTAGAACAATTGTAAAAGTCTATAAATAGAATGAAAAGAAAGGGAAAAGAGGTTGAGATATTTTGAAGTGTAAAGACTTATCTTTCCAAATTGAGAGAGTTTGTTCATTGCATTTTCAATGGCACCGCTTATGGGAATGATGATGAGTCCTAATAAGTGAGGGTAGAAACATTGATTCGTACTGATCGTGTAGGCAAAAAAGAAGGAAGAAAAGTTCAGATCTAGTGGACGAAGATCGAGATTTGATCAGGCGAAGGCCAGATCTAACGAATTCACAGCAGCAAAGTTCTGATCTAGCCGACGAAGATCGATATTTGGTTATGCGGAGGCCAGATCTGACGAATTCACGATAGGATAATTCAGATCTATTCAAAATTTAACAGTTAATGACTCTGCTCCGATCAGAAACGATGATCGGAGGTGAGAGTTCTTGTCCACAAGAGAATGAACAACACGCAAAGCTTGACGAACTGATGAACCTGATTGAGGCTTTAAAAAGAGAAAATGCAGAATTGAGAGCCGGAATGGAGCGGCAAGAAGTTCGGCTGTTCCACGACCACCTCCAGCAGGAGAAAGAATTCTATAGCCAAATGTTGTTCACCAGGGCGAATAAGAAGGAAACGTTCACCTGGATCCGCACCGCGAAGAGTTTAAGCCAGAAGATTTTCCGCCAAATGTCCATCATATGGAAGATCAAGAAGCATCTGTCCATCTGGATCCACATCGCGAAAGGATCAGGCGAGGTGAAGCCATGGAGATCAATCCGCATCGCGAAAGGATTAGGCATGAAGAATCCATGGAGTTCGATCCATATTGAGAAAGGATCAGGCGAGAAGAAGCCATAGAGTTCGATCACAATAAGGCTATGCCATCATGGCAGAGGGAGTCAACTGAAGAAAGGACGTTCAATCTAATCTACCATCTGTCAATAGCTATATATGACTATAGGAGTTCAGGCAAGAGATCTGTTGAGCAAAAGATACTCCCGAAGGAAAATGAAGCCCTCCATTCGGCAGCTCGGACTGTCGATTCACCGTTTACATATGAGATCTTGAATGCTCTAAATCCAAGAAAATTCTTCATGCCAGTTTTTACCTTGTTCGATGGAACGAGCGATCCGATCAAACATGTTTATCACATTCAGTTGAAAATGGCTCTGAATACAGAACATGATCCTCTAATGTGCAAAGTTTTTCCTACGAGCCTAACTGGACCGGTGCGCAACTGGTTCAAGAACTTGGTAAGAGGATCGGTGGAAAGCTTCCAGAACCTATGTGACAAATTCGTAAGTCAATATTATTGAAACAAGCGGCCGGCCAAGGATATATCAACTCTGTTTACAATGAAATAGTTGGAAGGCGAACGTCTCCAAACTTTTCTCACAAGGTTTAACCTAGAAAAGAGCATGGTAATAGAGTGTCATTCATCTACGGCGGTTCAAGCGTTCAAATTGGCCATGAACCGAGGGACACCGTTCCACACAAATCTAGTGGTGAATACGCCGACGACCATAGAAGAGCTGAACTAGAGAGCTGATGGTTTTGTGCACTTGGAGGAAGAGGAAGCTGCCAACGCAAGGAAAACGTCCATGGTCGCAACGGAAGAGAAGACCAAAATAAAGATCAGACAAAAGCAAGTTGCACCACAGCATCTGACCCCCTAGAAAGCAGAAAAGAGGCTCAGGGAGGAAGAATCGATCACTCCACTCAAAGTCAGCCTGGCGAGGTTGTTTTAAGAAAATAAAGATAAGTTCCGCCTTCCCCTACTGATCAGACAACCGCTCAAACAAAGAGATTAATCCAAACATTGTGTTTTTCATAGTGATTTCGGACATCTGACTAATGAATGCAGGAATTTAAGAAGACAAATGAAGATGCTGATAGCACAAGGAGAGTTCGCTGGTTACATTCAAGGACCAGTAGTGGAGCAGAACCGACCGGCTGAGCAAGTGAAAAGAAATCAAAAGCTAAACTACCATAACGCTCAACCTGTTCGTATAATAAATGTAATTCATGGCCAGCCTAAGCCGACAAAAGAGTCAGAAGAACTTCTTCAAATGCGTCTTTGTCAATCACAAATGAAGAAGAGGATAGGCAGTTTAAATATTCTGCGCCAGCAAAACAGTTCAATTCAGATAAGGTTTGACTGAACGGACCTGTTGCGAGTTCAAGTCCCTCATGAAGATCCCCTGGTTATTAGCCTGATGGTAGCAGAATGCTTGGTTCGAAGAGTCTTGATTGATCCAGGGAGCAGCGCGAATGTCATGACAAGAGTAATATTTGACCTACTCGAGATTGAACCAGAAAGGCTCAAACCCACAAGAAATCCACTATTAGGATTCGAACCAGAAAGGCTCAAACCCACAAGAAATCCACTATTAGGATTCGATGGGAAGTGGGTAGAGCCTATCAGCATGGTCGAGTTGCCAGAACTTACTGTTGAAAGAGAATTGATGGAAAGTTTTGTTGTCGTTGAGATTCACCCGTCTTATAATCTCTTGATAGGAAGAGGGTGGATTCACAGAGTCCAAGGTGTCCCATCGACTTTGCACCAGGTAATGAGATGCTTAAGTCTAGATGGGAGCAAATTGATTGATATCCATGGGGGCCAGGTAGCAACCAAAGAGTGTTACTCTATAACTCTGAAAGCTAGCGGGAAGGGAAAAACCCCTGTCCGATCTGATAACCCGAGATAGCAATTACAGGGGCCTCAACCCAAGGAGGTTGGGGAAGAGGAAGGGCCTTTGGTCTTTACTAAAGAACCCCTCAGGGATGTGCAGATTGATCCTCTAAGACCAGACAGAACCACAGGAGTAAGGTCAAGGCTTGCAGAGGATAAGAAATGGTAGCTAATTGACTTCTTGTCTAAAAACACAGATGTGTTTACCTGGAGCCATTCAAACATGCCAGGAATCGATCCCTCTATGCCTTGTCATTCTCTCAATGTAGATCCGAACATCAAGCCTGTTAGACACTATAACAAATTAGGTAACCACCAGCATTTTTTTTATAAGCGTTGGTGTAGTCTAATAATTACCAGCATTCTCTAAAAAAACGCTGGTATATATGTTCTTTAACCGGCATTCGCTAAAAGAACGTTGGTAAGTGCAAAATTTGGAGCAGCAAAATTGGCGCTGTAGTAATATTTCACTTTACTATTTGCTTAATTTATCATTTTTTTCTAACTTTACCAATCTCTTCAGCCTTCCCAATCGTCTGCATATCTATTCTCATTCTCAACTTTGAACTTGCCCTCTCTCTTTCTTTATAACTGCAAACTACAAAATCTACAAACATCAAGCCCTAAGTTTTTCTTCAGCCTCCCTAATCGCCTCCATCTCTATTCTCGCTCTCAACTCTGAACTTGCCCTCTCTCTGTCTCTGCAACTGCAAACTACAAAATCTAAAAGAATCAGAAGTTCAAAACCCATATACTTCAGTTTATCTATCTGTCTGCTAGAATCAAAAGTACAAAACCTATTACCTATATCAAAATCCATATCGGCATATCATTTCAGATTGTTCAAAAAATCAAAACCCATATCTTTCAGTTTCCATCGCTCGCTGTTCCAGTTCGGGTTCGCCGTTTGCAAGCTTCAGCCATTGGCCTGCTGTCTTTCAACTCTCAAGCTTGCCCCAATGAATATGCAAGTATGACACCAGTTTTATCGAAGGAATATGCAGGTCTTCTCCTCTCTCACTCTCTCTCTCTCTTTACATACACATATCTTTATATATATAAATGTTTCTTTTACGAATTCGTGTTTGATTCTGTAATTCCAGATGATGTTAGCCCTCTCATGGTCTCAATGGACACAAACCCTTTCTTCTGGAGCACAGCAACCAACACTCTTTCACTCTCCAAGTTCCTCTCTCTCGTAACTCTTCTATAAACCCTAACTTTCTCTCTCTAAAACTAATATTCCCTAATTCACTGAATTCACACAGGTCCTTTCATTCTTGAACTCCATTCTACTTCTCAACCAAGTCAATCAAGTTGTCGTAATCGCCACGAGCTTTAATTCATGCAAGTACGTCTATGATTCGTCTTCAAATGAGGTTGCACGTAATCAGAGGGTAGAGAGTTTGTTGTAGAGGTTGGAGAAGTTTGTGATTGAGGATGAAAAGCTGAACAAGGACGAGTCAGTTGATGGATTGGAGCTTTACTGTTATCAAGGTCTTTGTCGATGGCCCTTTGTTGTATCCTTATAATTGATTGCTCATACATTCATTGCTTATATATGTATATATATTGTATAAAAAGATTGTTTGATTTGACTTTTATGAATAGATATACAGAGGATTTTCTGCTTTAGACGGCTTCACCCCCAACCTCAAGTGAGCTCTTATAGTTTATGCAAATTGTTACAAGTGTGTGTGCTGTATCAGGAAATTTGTATTGTTATAACTATTTCTGTTAGCTTATTTTAATGTGTAGAATTGAGCAATTATTTTAGTAAAATTTTGGATTTTACAATGCAATATCTATATAATATATATACCTACCTGATGAGCAATTATATTTCTGTTACTTCTATATATCACTTGTCTGTGTAAAATATAAGAGAGCTTTGTGTTTAAAAAACAAAAGAAGAAAAGTAAAGATAGATATAACTTACAACACCACGGCATGCATGAATTTTATCGATCACTTATATATAATGTGACCAACATTTGTAAGCTGGGTAGTAAAAATCATTATGGTTATATTATATCACAAATATTGAACTTTTCCCTTATAAACAACATTGGCAACTTAATGCAACAAAACATTTTCTTGAATGGAAAGTAAAATTACTCTTTCTAATTCTGTTTTTTTTTCTTTTGCATTGTAAAAGGCAAAAACAAAGTCTTCAGTGACTGTTGATTATGGAGGCAACTTGGACTGGGGAGATGATAATCCATCAGTTTCATAATGAATATTGCCAATAGCTTAGGAGGAGAATTCCAATTAACGAATGGTTATGGCCCCAATAAGGCTCCACAAGTAATGAAGGTAAGAGTTTCATATATTATGCTACAATACAAACCATGTGCAGTGTGTTTGATTTTATGGAAGAGCATATTAGCAAGTTTATCAGCTGCAAAATAATTTTTTTAGAATTATTTCCATTGAAAAAAGTATTTAAAATAAAGCATATATTCCAATGGTCTGATATTTGCTTTATAAAGCCTCCAACTTGGTACCTTTTTAGCATAGCAATGTAGGATGCAGAAGTTTGCTTCATCAACTATAGTATCCATATGGCACCAAAGCCAAATGGTGATAAAAAGTAGCCACCACAAGAATGTAATAACACTTTATTACTTTTCTTTTTCTTTTCTTTTCCTCTATTTCATACCCAAAATTTAAACCATCAAAGATTCCATCGTCTTTAGGATTTATTCCACTCTGAAAATTGATTCCATTTGATTTCATTATATTGAGATTACTAGGAAAGTCACAAACAAATTCTTTAATTTTGTATTCTCATCCTTAATAGCGACAATGAAATTACTAGGAAATCATGCAAAACGAAGCTAAAAAAATAATCATCCCAAGCACAATATAGAAAAGATATAAGAAATTCAAAATAAACATTGAGCATTGAGCCAAAATAAAGTTAAGTGAAATAAACTTACTAAAGTAATTAGACAGTAATCAATTTTTTTTAAGTCATTGACATCATAAATATTTGGTTAGCAATTTGCGGTTCTTGCATAAGGCACATCGTCATGTTACAACAACTTGATAATAATAAGAATCATATTAATAATAGTAGTAGTTTGCAACTGCTATGATTAATTTTCCTGGATCTTAGGTTATTGTTGGTTTACTTAATATATTGGAACTTTGGAATTGTACAGTTCCCATAAATGTTCCATTTTTTTTCCTCATGGTGTTATATTTATTAAAATGTTTGATTAAAATTGATTAACTAGCCTAATTACTCTTTAATGAGAACTTTTTTTTTTTTTTTTTTGAAATCTAAAATTTATTAGATCTCTCTCTCTTCTTCCCCTATTTGGTGAATTTAACTTTTTTCTTATAGTTAAATAAAATATAATATCTAGCTTGGTTGTTTAGATGGAGTGAAAGATCAAATGTGGTCATACGTTACGACTTAGGGTTCTTCCAACTGTTTCTATCCCATAATAAATGATGTTTTCATGGTGTGCTATTCTGAATTTAGCACAAGGTGTAGGTTTAAGAACTTGAGCAATTGAAAATGACAGTTTTTTAGTCATGTTAGGGGTAAAATCATATTATGTAACTGTAAAGCAGCTTGAAAGTCCTCATCTCCATCCCTGCTTAACGTTTTACTTTTATTTATTTTGCTTTTATAAGTAATCATAAGTTTATAGTTCTATCTTTCTTATCCTACTCTGAAATCTTGTCTGTGGAATATCTTTTGATTTTCTTAATTACTTTAGATTTGTTGTTGTTGCTTGATAATTTGACCTTGACTATATTTGTTTCATTTCTGCTTACTCAGTATCATGGGAAATATTTCATATTACAATTGGCTTGACATATTGCTGTTATCAATTTGCTTGATCTGGAAATTTTGTTTTGTTGTCTTTGACATTAGTACATGGTCGTTCAGGACAAGATTTTTTCATGGGCTTTTGGATGTGAAACCATTTATTCCTTTAATTTTGAAATATCCCTGAAGTTCTGAACTATTTAGGTTAGCGGATAAATTATATGGGGTTTCATTTGTTTATATATGTATAAGAATATAAATGATTCTAATAACAGAACTAATAGTAAATTTTTGAAATTATTGGCCCTTTACTACTGCAGATCCCTTATAGACTTGTACTCCACACCTGATCCAGGAGGTGCAAGAGTTTTAGATATCAAATTTCCTATTTCCACAACATTTGTTCTTTAATTGTTCTTTTTCCCATAAAGTTTGGAATTCAGTGGCTAAGGCAATTTCTCTCAACTGCCATGGCATGACGAATTTGAATGATATTATTGCTTGGACTTCTGCTAACTGTCAGGTTAAGAAGAATTGGTCCCATCAACTGCACAAAATTTCCCTTGCTTCATTGTTGCTCGTGATGCCATTGGGATTACTTTTCTCTATATTGGTTGGGGACTTGATGGTAATGTTTCATTAGATCATGTTGTGAGTTGAATGTGTTAATTTTTTTATTATTTAGGACTTAAATTGAAACTGGTTTATACTTGTCCTGTTTATCTTTAGGCTCAGTTTTGATTTTATCGGAACTGAAAGGTTTAAATGATGACTGTGAGCACTTCGAGCGTTTTCCTCCTGGTCACTTATACTCGAGCAAACAGGGAGGCCTTCGCTAATAGTACAACCCTCCTTGGTTCTCTGAGGCTATTCCATCAATGCCATGTGATCCACTTGTTCTATAAGCCGTGCTTTTGAAAATGTTAGATTCATGAACTTTTTACCATTATTTATAAAAATTATGAGTCATTTTAATCATTCACTTTTTACCACTTGTTCAGGAAGGCTAACTGTGTGTGCTTTATGAATGTTTGAAGGAGGAATTATGGAGTTGTATTTGTTTCTTGTGAATTAGGGAGTTGTACGTGTTGGTTGTGATCTTAGGAGTTGTATGCTTTATAAGAGTTGCGATATTTGATTGATCATATGGTCTAATTTGCATCTATTCCAGCCACATATAGATATTGGCAGTAAGCAAATGTTCATTAAACAAATAAACAAAAATAAAG